AATACTGAGAGTAGAATCAAACTTGGAGATCACTTTGTAACTAGACAGCAGAAGGGTTCCCAGAGACAATCTCAAGTACAAACTATGTGCTCGTCTTAAGCTTTTTCATGCTGGTTATAGCATAAAGTTGAGATGCATCCCATATACTTTAAATCCTTCAACTCCACTATTTGTTATATGTTCAAGAATGGTTTGAGATAGTTAATTTATTTTATTTCATTATATTCTAGATTCATTGATTGAGGAAGAGAAATGCAAGTTGCTGAGTAGATGACTTTGTTGAATGACATTCAAGGTAGAAGATCTATTGCTGTGATTATGTCCCTGAGCACTGAGATTTTGTGTTCCTGGGGCAGGAGTAAATCTTTCTGGGGGGAATGGCTCCTCCCTTCATCCTCCTAATCCCCATATTATGCTCAGCCAAAAGAGCTCCAAGTCAAAGAGAACAAGACCCTTTAAAAGAAAACTCAGTTAAAGCCACCTTATTCGTTTAATTAGTTCTGATCTGCCTTAAACATTCTATCACACAGTTTTTATTAGTTTCCAAATGTCTTTTAAATTTAGTTTTGCAATAAGTCTGGCATGTACTTATATAATGTGAGGTAGAATTCTAACAAAGTATTTTTCTTCCTAGGGAGCTAGTTTTGAACATTATCAACTAAATAATCTGTCATTCCCCCAGTGAATTTTAGTGCCATCCCTATACTAAGTTCCAGTATGTGTCTCTGTACTTCCTCACTGATTCATTCATCTATTATTTCATAGGACCATTCTGTTATAATTATCCAATCCAATTGTAGCATGTCTTATTTGGTAAAACAAATTTATTTCTGTCCTTATTATTAAAATTGACTTAGCTTTTTGTCATATGCATTTTAAATAAGTTTGCCATAAATTCCAGCTCCAATCTTGAGTAGTTATACATTAAATTATAAATTAATTTAATATTACATCAAGAAATCTCATATAAGAATAGAAAATGTCTCCATTTATTCTGATCTTGTGTGTCTTTGCAGAGAGTTTTAACATTTTCTTTATTAGGTCATGTGTATTTTTAATTAATTCCTAGATACTTTGAATTTGTTTTTGCTATTGTTTTCGGAAACTCATTGATTATTGCTAATATAAGAATATGCTAGGGAATATTTAAGTTGATTTTGTATTTGGCAAATTTGCTATACTCTCATCTAGTCATAATATATTTTCAATTATATATTTTTTCAATTGGAATATATATATGTATTTATCATTATTTTTATTACTTGTTATATTTTTTCCTTTTCACCATATATTGCTTACTTATAATTCTCTTTACAGTACTTTTGCAAAATCAGTTTTTCAATAAGTCTGATTAACTTTTCTCAAAAATGTAGCTTTCAGTTTTGTCAACATTATGAATTTTTGTTGTTGTTGTTACTCTCTGCCCTTTTTTGCCTCATTTCTATAATAGCTTTCCTTTTCAAGTTTTTTGGTTTTGTATAATTTCTCCTTTTCAAACACCATGACTTTTTGTATTTAAATAGAATTGACCCTTGAACAACATGGGAATTAGGGGCGCCGACCACTCTTGCAGACAAAAAAATTTGAGTGTAACATTTGACTATCCAGAAACTTAACAACCAATACTCTACTGTTGACTGGAAGCCTTACCAATAACATAAAGCCAATTAACATATATTTCGTATGTTATACATATTATATACTCTATTCCTACCAGAAAGTCAGCTAAAGGAAAGAAAATGTTAAGAAAATCACAAGAAAGAGAAAATATATATACTGTTCATTAAGTGGAAGTTGATCATCATAAAGGTCTTTATCTTCATCATCTTCAGATTGAGTAAGCTAAAGGGGAGGAAGAAGAGAAGGGGTTGATCTTGCTGTTCCAGAGGTGGCAGAGGCAAAAGAGGTGGAGAAGGTGAAAGGGGAGGCAAATTACACTGGGTATAACTTTTATTGAAAAAATATCTACAAGTTGACCAGTGCAATTCAAACCTGTGTTGTTCAAAGGTCAAGTGTATTTCTGTTTACTAATATAAGGGTTTTTCAACCTCGACACTATTGACATTTTGAGCTGTATAATTCTTTACTTTGTATTTGAGGTGTTGTCCTACGCAGTGAGGGTATTTAGCAGCATTCCCAACTTTACCTACTACTTAGAAGAAAAAAACCCAAAAAACCTACTTTAGTCATAACAATCAAGCAGACATTGCCAAATGTCCTTCGGGAAGAAGCAAAATTCTCCTCTGTTGAGAATCCCTGGAAATTGACCGAAGCATATAAAAAATGAGAAATATTTAGAAAAAACTATTGAGCCTCAGATAAGAACTCTCTAGTGATGTTTCAGTCTTGGGCTGCTTCCTTAGCCTTCAGGTCCCTGGGTGCTGTAGTCCTTATTGTGGAATAAGCTAAGAAAACAAGTAGCTTCATTATGAGTGGAGCTGACTTGATTTGAAATGGAAGCCAGAAAATCTCTATGGCCTAGAACATTGTTTTACAGCTTACACTTACCGTAGTGATACCTGTGGCAAATGAACAGGGAGAGCCAATGTTATAGCTAGCCTGAGTTTGTGAAACTGACTCTAGGGCAAGCAATTAACCAGCAGATTGACCAGAAATTTAACAAAAGATCTTGGAATCAAACTTTCATATGGGCTGTGACAAACTTCTATATATTCCCGGCTGTCTGAAAATCTGTATGGATTTGCAAGGCTACACAAATGCTCAGAAGAGACATAAGAGGATCCTAGTTATCTACACCTCCTTGGTTAAATGAGAGGTTTTGTACGTGAGCAGAAGAGAAAAAAGAAATGGCAGATTATGTTAAAAGCTGAAGGTGATTTCTAATTGCCTGAACTTTGAATATATTCTTCAATGAACACATGGATGTGATGACAAAGAAAAGAAGACTTACTGGCTTGAAGTGTTTGAGTACAATCTCTAGACAACCATTTTGACACAGTGGTGACCTCTAGCAAAGCAATATACACCATAAGAAAGAAAGGCTCTACAGGCAAGTCACTAAATAGACAAACATAGGAACAATAATAACCACTGTGGGCAAATAAAAATCCAGGGAATTAAAAATATAAACAATTTTCAGTTTTCAACAAAAAACAAGGATATATGCAAAAGAATGGGAAAATGTGTCACACATTTAGGAAAATAACAAATAAGCAAACAAGCAAGGTCTCTGATGGGGCACAGATGTTTGACTTCACAGATAAATACTTCAAAACATACATAATAAATATGTCAAAAGAATTAAAAGAAACACCATTTAAAGAATAAAGTATAGCAACAATGACTCTCCAAATAGAAAACGTTAATGAAAGATACAAAATTATAAACAAAAGAACCAAGTAGAAATTCCGGAGTTAAAAAGTCTAGTAACCAAAACAAACAGAGAATCCTAAGAGACTTAAGAGATTGGCATCATTAATATCTAAAGATTGGAAACAATCAAAATGTCCATCAATTGATGAAGGGATAAGCAGTATCCGATATCTCCATGCAACTGAATCCTATTCAACAACAAAAAAGGAAAACAATATTTATACAGTTCGCATGGATGAACTCAAAAACTTTATCTTAAGTGAAAGACTCCAGATGCAAAAGTCCTATATTGTGTGATTTAAAAAATTATTTTCCCATAAGTTATTGAGGTACATACAGGTGGTATTGGGTTACATGAGTAAGTCCTTTAGCAGTTATTTGTGAGATTTTGGATATTTTGAAATACAGAATGTCCATAAAAGACGAATCTTAGAGGCAGAAAGCCAATCAATTCCTTCCTGAAACTGGGAAAAGCAGCCAAGATTGAATAAAAACGGGCATGAGGGTTCTGATTTGCATAATAGAAATGTTCTAAAACTGGATTAATTTACTAAAATCATTAAAAAGTACACTTACAATGAGTGAATTAAGTTGTGTGTAAGTGATACACTAAGAAAGCCCTCAAAAATACTGTTTTTATACCAGTGTGAATAGGAGGGCTTCTCTGGATCAAGAGACGTTGCATTTTTCTTTCAAATAATAATAGTCATTACAGTATTAGTAACCATTGTATATTTAGCTTTTATTATCTACCATTCTATGAGATTCTTTGAATGTAAATCATATTTGTAACTCTATGAGAGAGGAAATAATAACCAGCATGGTACTGAGATACTGAGATTAAATAATTTGCTTAAAGATTCTTACCCAGGTAGCTTACCTCTTAAGTTCATGGACACAACCAATGTTTTCTATATTCTACTAGCCTTTTTATAGCCTTTTACTGTGTGTGTGTGTGTGTGTGTGTGTGAGATGTGACATGACATAAAATTAGCATGGTGTGACATACATTAAATGGAATATAATGCTTTATATATTTTTAGATTTCATAATCGTTGGCTAAAAATACATATAATCACTGTTAAAATTATTCCTTTATGATTAAAATTTTAACAACTATTTCAACTGCCAAATAATATTTTACTCTGTGTAAGATTCTAAAAGAAATGAAGTGAAAAGTCAGCCTTCTGACTTATTAATCACTTGAGAATAGTAGCAGGATTTTTTGTAGACTTTTCTTAGATTTTTAGTAAGCTATAATGATTTTATAAAATAAATCTCAAAGTAAGATAAAATTTAATGCAATATTTTCACATTTTCAACAATATGGAGCTTTAGCTTATACTCTAAAACTTGTAAGTATATTAAATCATTCTAAGCTTCATTTTGGTAACACAAATAAACCAATTACAAAGAATATAGTTTTTTCTCCTTGTTTAAAACATGAAAAATATGTCAGTTGCTGATACTCTGACTTTAAATTAGTAAGTGATGATAAAAATAATAATTAGTCATTAGAGCAATAATAATTGCCTATTAGAAGAGATGTTTTGATGGCACAAGGTAAAATCAATTATTTATAATCAGTAAATTTTCATAGTGTGAAAGCTTTCTTATTGTGATTATCCAGTATAGGTATAAAGGTAAAATTTAGTGGAAAATCTTACCACGCCAATGGAAAAGTAATTATTGATGATACTGTAAGGCACTGGGTCTCCCTTCTCATCTTTGTCATTAGGTATGACTTCAAACTTCCACCTGTCCAACATGATTTCTGTGCTGTTTTCAATGTCTTTTAGAATTTTCATCAAATTCTCACCTTCATAACCTAACGGGAAAAAAAAAAAAATACTTTGAGAAAAGAACTCCAACCAAATAAAAAAGCTGTGTTTTTATGTTTCCGTGTGTTTATGCATATGTAATATTCTAAAGATAAATAATGATTTTGAAGCACATTCTACAACAAAATGAAGAATTAATTATAACATTATACTCATACCCACATTTAATTCTCAACTTTAATTTGTAACGCGTACTGTATTTCTCTTCTCTTTTGTGGTGCCAATTCTCAGCATATACAACTGCCAAGTGAACATTTCTACTGTATACCCCACAAAATTTTATATAAATAGATTCAAAATTGAATGAATTCTCTGCTTCCATATCTTCCTTATGTGCAGCTGACTTCACAAAGACATCATCCTCTATCCAGTTGCAAAAGTCAAAAATGTGGATGTCACTTTAGACTTTTTCCTTTCCATCACTCTCTTACTCTCACCTTTTCACCTCTAGTGATATAAAACTTTCAATTTAGGTCAAAGGTCCTACTCTTTGTTTTAAAATTTTGTTTCTTATTCTATCTACTCAGGGTACCCCGTTTCTTTTTGGTTGGTTTGCATCTATTTCCTTGGCACGGTTTTATATTTGCTAATACTTCTTCCCAGTGCTGCTGCTTATGCCTGTAGTCTCAGCTACTCAGGAGGCTGAGGCGGGAGAACTACTTGAGGCCAGGAGTTCCAGGCTGCAGTGAGCTATGTTTGTACCACTGTATCCCAGTCTGGGTAACAGAGCAATATTCCATCTTTAAAACAATAAATTTAAATAAAATTAATAAATGTGCTAGCACTTCATTCTGGAAGGCACCCTTTCAAGATAATGGCTCAGATGCCCCTCATGCAGTCCCCTACACACAGTTCTCAAAACTGGCCCTATCTTAGAACTAGTACACCACATTGCTGTTACTTTTGTTTTTCTCACTACAGGTTCCTCTTAAGCCTGCCATAGAGTAAATGCTCAACAAATCAGTTTTTTAATGAATCTATGATAGATGGTCAACATGACCTGAAAATAAAAGTCTTGTCAATATTGCATTCTCAATATTCAATTTACCTGTAAGTATATAACATTATAGTTATCACTGCAGCCTAAACCTGACAGAGTTACTGTTTTTGTTTCTTAATCTCCCTCAACATTAGTTTCCTTCCCTGTCAAAACCTTAGGTTTCTTGTGAAGATTAAGCAAGATAATGTTTAAAAAGATCTCAGTACATGAGGCCTAAAACAGAGAATAGAAAGTTCTCAATAATATTATACTACTGATGATGATGCCATCAGAATTTGAAATATTGTACTAAATTAAATCATCTCTCTCTTCACCCATATAAAAGCACACATACAGTCCTAAAATGATATTTTGAGTTGGAACAATATTTTCAGTTTTTGCTTTTTTCTGTTCATTATTTAATTGTTGAACAAGGAAATGCCAGAGGCTATGAGTCCTCATTAGAACTATTAGCATACATATCATTGAATAAACTCATTGGGTTAAAACAAAACAGGCACTCTCATATGCCAAAATTCCCTAAAGAGGAATACATTACACTTAAGGTGTATCTGTTCAATTAACTATTAGAAGGTGAAGGCCACCAGAAACCAGAAATACCTCTTCTGGAGCCCATCATCACTTCCTACCTTACACAGGTTTAAAAAGTATTTACGTGCCATTTAATACATACAGTAAAGGGTACAATAAGTAATGATTACATAAACATTGAAAACATTAAATATTATTTCAAAAGCTATCATATGTCTTATAGTATAATCTGAAGCTGTATTAATAATATGCATATAACTGTACTCAGTGGCAAAACACTGAATGGTTTAAACTGCAAGATTATGATAATTATATTTACTAACATTTCATGTTTCTTAATAGTGCTACTTTATTCTAAATGTTTAATTCATTTCTAATTGTTAATTTCTTTTAAGAAGTAATAGCTCCACAAATAAATTATATACATATATATTATTTTACCTACTGAATTAAATAAAAGCACTTAAATATATTCATCTATTTTCCAAATTCTGCTTTCATTTCAGAATAAGCTTGATAGTTTTTAGACGTAAATTAATTTGTATATAATAATATATATTATAATATAGGAGTATCGTGTGTGTATGTGTATACATATACACAATTAGCAGAAATACAAGTAAATAATAATGCTTTAAGAAATGTTGAATTTGTTCTCAGTCATGTCTCAGGTTAATAGCAGCACTGTCCAACATAACACTGGAACAATGTAGGAACAGCAACCTAACCAGGAGAGAACATGAGAGGAATGAATGTAATGAAAATCAATTACCACAGCTAGATTGCAGCAGGGTCACTCAGCTTAAAATCTTTACCACTAGATATGAGTACAGGGATTTTTATGACTAAACATGAAAAAAGCTAGTTTAAATCTGTCTTCTAGCCAAGCAAAAGTAGAAAGAGGCAATAAATAAATCTTGAGAATTACAACATCTGCAATTCAGAAGTGATTCATATAGATGAACTCTAAACTGTAGTCCCCCATTTAACAAATATCTTTTCCCTACTTCTTGTACGTATCTATGCTCAAGATTGTTAAATAATGATGTGTAACTATTAATAGGATTCCTATACCCAAGAAGATCATGATTTTTAAAAAGATAAATCAAATCCACTAAATATGCCAGCAAAAGATTTTTATAGAAAAGAACAATGCTATTTTACTTTTATTATTTTGATTTAAAGCCTGTAATCACTCCAGGCTAAGAAACAAAATGAAAACATAATTAATATTTATTTTATATTTAATGATATGATGTTACAATGACTGAATCTAAAAAGTCATAGAAATTATTGCAAATGAAAATCATATAAAGAAATGCAACAACAAATTTGTATAAAAGTGTGTCCCATTTACAACTATTACTTACCTCCTCAGTTTACACTAACAAGATTTTCCTTGCCATTAAATTGTTGTTAAGAGAGACTAATGATTGCCAGAAATTTACAAAAATAATGCTAATTAAGCTAGAATATCCTACAGACTTACAGTGTCAACTTTTCCAAAATATGAAAATATATGCTTATAAAAAAGAGACTTCAAGTCAAAAGATTCCCTGAATCTTAAGTGAACCAAATGATTAATGGTGGAATGAAGTACTTTCTTCTACAAATACTAAGCATAATAATAATTACTGCAACTGCATAAAGTTCTTAACACAAACATTGATATGGTTTGGCTCTGTGTCTCCACTCAAATCTCATTTTTAGTTGTAATCCCTATAATCCCCATGTGTCAAGGGAGGGACCTGGGGGGAGGTGATTAGATCATGAGGGTGGTTTCCTCCATGCAGTTCTGGTGGTAGTGAGTGAGTTCTCATGAGATCTGATGGTTTTATAAGGGACTATTTCCCCTTTGCTCATTTGCTTCTCTCACCTGCTGTCATGTAAAACATGCCTTGGCTTCTCCTTCACCTTCATGAATGTAAGTTTCCTGAGGCCTCCCCAGTCATTTGGAAGTGTGAGTCAATTAAAACTTTCTTTATCAATTACCCAGTCTTGGGTATGTCTTTATAGCAGTGTGAGAACAAACTAATACAAACACTGTGCAAACAATGTATCAGTTTAGCACAAGAATCTACAAGGTACGCACTATTATTTTCTTCAAATTTTGATGAGGAATCTACAGCCAGTTTTTAAGTAATGTGCTCAAAGTTACACATCTGTCAAGAAATAATCCCACTGTAAAGCATATTTCTTTGTTAATAATCTCTAGCAAATGGCATCTTCATTTCCCTAATTGCTAAACTTGAGCATCTTGATACCTTGCTTTCCCTAAAACTCCTAACCAATCCACTGGTAAGTACAATTAAACTGAGCCTGAAAATGTACCTCCAGTTTGTCTACTTGCCTGATTTACATCACGCAAGCTCTAGTCTACTCACTTTATTATGTAATTAGAACAGCTATAATAGAAGTTCTCATTTGGAGAACTATAGTTCTGCATGTTTTCACATTTTCTGACCAGTTTATTTTCTACCCCCAAATTAATCTGTTTTGAAAATGTGTCAGTGTGTTACTCTGCTTCTGAGACTTTCAAAGCTTCACTTTGCGTGTCAAATTCAATCAAATAAAACCCTTAGAATAACAAACAAATTCCTGTATTATCTGGCTCCCAATTATCTTTCCAAAGTCATAATACTCACTACCCCTAATTGCCCACCACTGCATTGCTTCTTCAGCAACCCCACCTGCATTCCTCCCTTCAGTCCTTGAAACACAGAGAGCTATTTCTGCTCCTTCTTATATTTTAGGTCCAGCTTAAATGTTACCTCCTCAGAGAGACCTTCTTTCCCAGCTAGCTAGATAGTTCATCCTATTATTCATTCTTCTGATTCCTTGATATCATTTTATAACCATATATTTCATTATCGTTTGATTTACTGTCCATTATACTCAATGAAAATGTAATCTCTAGAAGGATAGAAGCCATTTGTTTATTTCCTCACTGTATATTTAGTACCTAGAACAGTGCCAACACATATCAGACACTCACAGAGAATTCAACACTAATAGATACTTTGACACATGCCCTTGCCTTTATCCATTGTTAGTACTTTGTATGCGGTTTCACAAGAATGATTAGAGTATGCCAAAAACGGACTTCTTTATCAAATTTGGCATTTAGGCCATTTGTTAATTTGGAAACAAAAATCAAATTACTAATTTTCATATACATCAAATATATGTTACCGAAGATTATGGCAAGAAGACACACATATTTTCTTTCTTTTCGATTTCTTTCTTTTCACTTGTATGAACGCTGGCAAATACAAGTATCTTATCAGAAATGGTGATGTCTTTATTCATTTCTTTAGATTTCATGAACTCTAATGCAACTCATGAAAATACTCCTTAAGTATATTCTTTCTGAAAATCCCAAATAGATTACATACTAAGTTCTTGATTTAGTCAAGCATGTACACAGCTTAGAGCTAGTTGGTCAGATATTCACGGAATTGTTCTCCAACTTTGCTGTAAATCAGAGTTACTTAGGGACTTTGTTTAAAAAAAAAAAAAAATCATCTGCTCAGTTCCCAACTCCAGATATTTCCATTCAGCACATCTGGGGTGGGGTCAGGCCACTGTATTTTTAACAAGCTCCCCAGGGACTCTGTTCACCTTGTCTTAGTAGACACTTTTCAAACTTCTCTAAATGAGCTTTGATGCTAAAAATATTTAGCATTCAAGTCCTGTTTCTTTACCAAAGTCTGGTGGTGTTTAGTGATCTTATCTGGTGGTGTTCAGTGATCTTCAGATAAATATAGCTTATTAGTGACTCTGCAAAATGTTTTAAGACCTCATCTCAAAATATTCTCTCTTTGCTTACCCTACTCCATCCACACTATTTCAGTTTCAGTTTCTTGAATACGTCAAGTGCCTTGCCACCTTTGGGCTTTTGAACTCGATGTTCCCTCTGCCTATGAAGTTCACAGCCAGCTTTACATGGCTGTGTCATTATCTAGCTAGTAGGTTTTTTTTTTTCTCTATGTCATATCCTCAGTGATGTCTTTCCTTACAATGATCATCTGTTTACTTGTTAGTGTAAAGTCTCACGTATGATTTTATGTGCCACTAAAAGTTAAGGTATTTTTGTTTTTATTTTGTCAACTCTGTATCCAAAGTGCAGAGCACAGCTGGCTAGCATACAGTGAGTCTTAAAAACTGAGTATTATTTAACGTATTCACTCCTGGGAAACTAATTTGTTAAGCCTTTCATTTTTCCTTTGTGATTTTACCACCAAACTTATAAATTAAAAATATAAAAATTAAGTGCATCCATATGTACCTTATTTTCTAACAAAAAAATCCAAACAAAAAATAAAAACAGAAAATAAAAAACAAAAACAAAAACCAGAGATGTTTGGAAACTTGCACTCGTCTAATTTAAGTCTATAATTAATACCACATTAAAACCCAATACCCATGGTCTCTTTGACCACTATTTGTTCTTCTATCCAAGACTATTGCTCAAAATGATATATATACCACATCCGTTATATTCACTGAAATCATATGGTTTTTGTTTCTTTGTTTTTTTTTTTTTTTCTTTTTGTTTTGCAAGGGAAAAGGGTGTTGTGTACTGTTTCTGCTTTTGTTGTTGCAGCTGCTTTACCTCCTCCCCATCGCAGGCATCTCGCTAGATCATTGCCAGTCCCAAGAGGCAGAATTGCAACTGGAGGATGCTTGCCTACATTGGCCTTTTCTGCAGAATAAAAAAAAAAAATACAAATAAAGAAAATTTCAAATTCAAATAAAACAATGGAAATAGAAAGATAGGCTGATGACATTAAATGAAGGAATTTCAATAGGTACTCATAAACAAAACATAATTGTATTTTTAAGATATATACCATAATGAATTATGGATAATTTGTAAACATTTGTAGCAATTGATAAAACACAAATGCTATTATTCACAGAATGATGGAATTTTCAAAACTCAAGCAAGAAGAAAGCTTTTTAAATATCTTAACTGAACTAAAAAATGTTGTGTGTCTTGTCTCAATTACAATCCTCAGGGATATTATTATACACAGCATAAGATTACAATACAGAGACACAACTAGGATGGATGGGTGGGTTCCTATATAAAGTCCTTTTGCAACATCAATTCCAGGTACATTTTACTTAGAGGAATAAAATATTTGCAAACTGTTGAATTATAGAAGTGAGTAAATTGCTAACAATGTCCTTGACTTTTTCCCACCCATGGTGCTGCTTTGTGTCAGAGCAAACGGAACACAACGTTAACAGCTGGAGTACACTGAGATCAGCAGGTTTTCCATGAGATTAATCTTTACATCACATAATGCTTTGGGTTCAGAGCAGTAAAGATCTCTGCCGCTGACATCCCATATGCTTTGGCTTGAATCATCGCATGTCTTGAATTAATCTCACAAATGTATATTACTTTCTTTTATTTTTTCTTCCTCCTTAGCCCTTCAAAATCAGTGTATGTATGTGTGTAGGATAGAGGGGCTAGATAAGGTAGGGACATGTCACAGTGAAATAGCCAACGACAAGATTTTGAGGGCTAAAACAAGCTAAGAATTCCTGCTATTTTTCCTCTAAAATCCTTACAAGTCCTCAGATACTTTTCCAACTAACTCATTAACTTTTGTAATTCTTGAATTCTGGTTGTCTTCTCAGATGAAACATATAAATACGATCTACATTGTTTAATGGAAGGCCAGATCAGAATTTTCACTGTTGCTTTTTAAATCAAATATTAGATTAAAGCTGTTAGATCCTTATCAAAAGTGTTGCCAATATGTATTTATTTTTAATTTGAATATTTTTAGTGTATGCAAAGACAGAATGTTATCTGCATTGACTAAATAGGTGTCTGTTTCAATTTTTACAGAAGGTAAAACTTCTTTTGAATCAATTCGTTCTATGAAAGGGCCTGTTTTAAACAAAGAATTGATCAATGCAGTAACTGAAATGAGACCAAAGAGAGTCAATATTTGTTTTGGATTTATTTCCTCATAAAGGCCTATTCATGATCTCTTTTTCTAACTAGTAACCAGTTCCGACAACTGACTATATCTGAAAAACCAAATAATTTTCCTGAATTTATAGTTTTGCTTGTGCTGCATACTTATCTTACATTGTCAGTGATGTTCTTGTGTTGTTTGCTTATAAAAATCGAGCTTTTTCAATTTAAATAGAGAGGCAATATAGAATAAGGTTTAACTGTGGGTTCTAATCTCAGCTCTCTCAGTTCACAACTATAAGACTTTGTTGTAGTTATTTACTTTTACCAAGTTTTAGGTTCCCTATCTCTACATGGGATTATTAATACTATCTGTGTCATAGAGTTGTGAGGAATAAATAAGACAACATGATGAATAAAAATTAGCTATGATGATGATGGTGGTGGATGATAATGATATGAATGTATACAGAGGGTAAGATTTTGAGGGTCTATGTTTTAATAATGTAAGAACATCAATGTGGCACAGACTTTATCACAAATACTAAGACTGCTCCTTCAGTTCCTTGTCTGGGGCACACAAACAATCTGATTTCCTAGAGCCGCATTTGAAAACAACTCTGAAAATTTGGTAAACACTGTAAGAAGTGGATTAGAAAGGAAGGATTTCTAGATACTTGTAAACTATTTTGCCAGTTAAATTTTTGAACTATAGAATAGTATGTTAAACCAGTAAATAGTGTACAAACCTCCAGACGTCCAATTATATCACTGTTTCCAAAGATAATGATACAAGCAATAGATACATAGATGAAACAGGATTTAAAGCTATTGCTCTCTCCTCAGTCATGTTAAGTATGTGTCTGCATTACCTATGCAATCCAAAACCCAGCCCACGGTTCCGTCTCCACCACAGGCTAACACTCTGAAGTCAGGGACATCACGGAAAAAGTTTAACCTGAAAAATAAGCATGTTATGGCACATGATTAATAGTTTAAAAATAAGATATTTTCAGTTTTGTATCATTAGCATTTTACCTGATGAAATACATTTTTATTTTATAAAAACTAAAATATCTCACTCATAACTTACATAGCTTTAATCCTATTTTATAATTATATATTCAAGATTCTATAATTTAAAAATATTTTATAATTATATATTCTAGATTCCATAATGAATATACTCTATTTTTCTTTAATAAACTCTAAAATTTTAAGAATAAAATTAGCAAATCATAATAATTTTCATTAAGATATTCTCCTAGATGTGATTTGCAGTTCACATAACCCAGAATGACATATACTACATTATTTCACTTAATAAATTTCTTCAATCCAAAATTATCTTTTTAGTGAATATATAAATGTGACAGTTATGTCAGTAAATATGTCTTTAACAATTTTGTACTTTCTCCATTACTGGGAGAAATTGATCAGAGTGCAACTGGGGTTCTAGCCAACTTTTCTTTTGACTGAGAATCTGCAAGTAGGAGTCAGGCTTCACCTTGTATTTTGACCTGGTTGACAGCGTTTTCCATCCAGGAACACTCCAGCCTAATTGCTGGGTCAGCTGCCATAAATACCCACTGCTTCTGCTGTTACTGCATGCAGTGTGCTTAATAATGCAACCTACCTTGTGAAAAGCAACAAAGGCAGGTAATGTAGCCAGCTATACAGTCATAGCCTACTTTATTGCAATAAAAAATTGAAACAGGACAGAAATTTTGTTATGTGTCCCTTCACCTCCCTTGTCCCAAAGATAACAACTGACATGATATAATATGCAACTATCCAAGGAATTTTTCTACGTACTTATATATACAAATATTCATACATGTCTTTATTACACATATATGTTCAACACAAATAAAATTGTGCTATACATACTGTTCATTAACTTGTATGGTTTTATTTTAACTTCAAATATGTCTTAGAGAATTTTGTGTATCAGTATATAACATATGCAGATGTCACGTGTGGCATTCTGTCAGATTATTATTTTTAAGCACTGCATCATGTTTTATAATAAGTGCACATACTACAAGATACAATAAATGATTTCTTTTTATGAATTTTTAAGCTTTTTCTAGTGTCTCATTATTACAAAAAAGTATTGTATTTAACATTATTTGAAGAACATTTGTGTAAACATGCGCATGTGTTTTGAAGGCCACTCTAGAGAAAAATATTCCATTACATCATTATATCCCTCTGAATGGCTCCCACTGTCAAATACGCAAGGGTCTATTTCTTTGCAACCACAAAACACTACATATGAACAACTTTATGATATTTCTGTAATAATGAGTGAAAACCAATGTCTTTTTATTTGTTGTAAAATCACACTTCCCTGTTTACTAGTGAGTTGAACATATTTTTATACATTTCCTGGAGATGTGTAACCTCTCCTATGCAAAGAACATTCAAAGATGCACCTTTCTTTCTATTGAATTGTCTTTTTATTTTTTATTTTTATTTTTTGAGATGGAGTTTTGCTTTTGTTGCCCAGTATGGAGTGCAATGGTACAATCTCGACTCACTGCAACCTCCTTCTCCTGGGTTCAAGCAATTCTCCTGCCTCAGCCTCCCAAGTAAGCTGGGATTACAGGTGCTCGCCACCACGCCTGGCTAATTTTTTTATTTTCAGTAGAGACAGGGTTTCACCATGTTGGTCAGGCTGGTCTCAAACTGTTGACCTCAGGTGATCCATTCTCCTCGGCCTCCCAAAGTGCTGGGATTACAGGTGTGAGCCACTGTGCTAGGCGAGTTGTCTTTTAATGATACTTTACAAACTGTTTGCATATTATAGCAATCTTTGCATTTAAATTTGCATCATTTAAAAAAGTTTTGTCAAGGTAATACCAACACTGTATAAATATAATAGAATATGTATAAAAATTACTAAAACCCATCATCTGATTATAATATCCATGGATATTTAGAACAGGAAACTTTCATGCATTTTCTCATTTATTATATTGTGGCTATTTAACCTTTGTGAGACATGTTGCAAATATTTTCTTCGGTTCTAATACTTATTGTTTTGCTTATACTAATATATGTACAATAGAATAAACACATATGTACCAGTTGCCCATTCCAGGAGGTAGAACATTTCCAATAATTTACATATTTCTCTGTTTTCTTTCCCTATAGCACTGCTCTTTCCAATTTACAAAGGTGAGCGCTATTCTGAATACTGAGTTACCATGTATCTGACATGATCAGTATGTGTGTTTCTACTTTTCCCAGTTAGCACTGGTACTCAGATTCATTTATGTTGTAGCTGAAGCTTTTTCCACATGTAGCTGAAGTTCTTTTAACTCCTACTGCTGTGTTAAATGCCACTTATATGTCTTTTAAAATCCATGTCAATGGGCATTTCAATAGGTTTGCTTTACATTCTTGCAAAAAGTGCATTCTTGTACAGGCATACCTCATTGTATTGCTCTTTACTTTATTGAGCTTAGCAGATACCGCAGTTTTTACAACTTGAATGTTTGTGGCAACTCTGCTTCTAGCAAGTCTATCAGTGCCATTTTTTCCAACAGCACATGCTCACTTGGTGTCTGTGTCACATTTTTGTAATTATCACAATATTTCAAACTTTTTCATTATTATTACATCTGTTATGGTGATCTGTGAAGTTATTATAGTAAATGTTTTGAGGTGCCATGAACCACGCCCATATAAGACAGAGAACTTAATCGCTAATATTGTGTGTGTTCTGACTGCTCCGCCCACCAGCCATTCTCCTGTTTCTCTTCCTGTCCTCAGGCCTCTCAATTCCTTTAGACACAACAGTATTGAAATTAGGCTAATTAACAACCCTACAATGTCCTCTAAGTGTTCAAGTGAAACAAGGAGTTGCATTTCTCTTTCAATCAAAAGCTAGAAATTATTAAGCTGAATGAGGAAAGCATGTCAAAAGCACAGGCAGGCCAAAAGCTAGCCCTTTTGTGCCAGTAAGCTAAGTTGTAAAAGCAAAGGCAAAGTTCTTGAAGGAAATTAAAAGTGCTACTGCAGTGAACACACAAACAAGAAGGCGAAACATCCTTACTGCTGATATGGAGAAGGTTTTAGTGGTCTAGACAGATGATCGAAGGAGCCACAACATTCCCTTAAGCTAAAGACAAATCCAGAGCAAGCTCCTAACTCTATTAAATTCTATGAAGGCTGAGAGATGTGAGGAAGCTGAAAAATAGTTTGAGGCAAGCAGATGTTGGTTCCTGAAGCTTAAGGAAAGAAGCTGCATAAACAGCAAATGCTGAGGAAGAAGTGGCAGCAAATTATCCAGAAGATCTAGCTACAATTATTGATAAAGGTGGTACACTAAACAACAATTTTTCAATGTAGACAACATAGCCTTCTAATGGAAGAAGATGCCATCTAAGACTTTGGTAACTACAAAGGAGAAGTCAATGCCTGGCCTCAAAGCTTCAAAGAACAGGCTGACTCTCTTGTTAGGGTCTAATGAAGCTGATGACTTTAAGTTGAAGCCAATGCTCATTTACCATTCTGAAAATCCTAGGGCCCTTAAGAATGATGCTACTCTACCTGTGCACTATAAATGGTAGAACAAAGCCTGAGCGACAGCACATTTCTTTACAGCATGGTTTACTGAGTATTTTAAGTTCACAATTGAGACATAACTTCTCAAAAAAAAAAAAAAAAAAAGATTCCTTTCAAAATATTATTTTCATTGACAATGTACCTGGTCACCCAATATTCTGAGGGAGATGTGTAAACAGATGAATGTCGTTTTCATGCCTGCAAACACAGCATACATTCTGCAGCTCATTGATCAAGCAGTAATTCAACTTTCAAGTCTTATTTAAGCAATACATTTCATATGGCTATAGGTGCCATAGACAGTGATTCATTTTGGGGATCTGGGCAAAGTAAATTGACAACCTCTGAAAAGGATTGAATAATCTAGGTGTCATTAAGAACATTCATAATTCATGGACAGAGGTCAAAATATCAGCATTAACAAGAGTTTGGAAGAAGTTGATGCTAAGCCTCATGGATGACTTTAAAGGGTTCAGGACTTCAGTGGAGGAAGTCACTGCAGATGTCATCAAAATAGCAAGAAGTAGAATTATAAGTGGAGCCTGCATGTGACTGAATTGCTGAAATCTCATCATAGAATTTGAAAGGATGAGGAATTGATTCTTAGAGATAAGCAAAAAAAGGGGGTTTCTTGAGATGGAATCTACTCCTGGTAAAGATGCTGTGAACGCTGTTGAAATGGTAACAACGGATTTAGATTATTATATAAATTTAATTGATAAAGGAGCAGTAGGATTTGAGAAGACTGACTCAAATTCTGGAAGAAGTTCTACTGTGTGTAAGATGCTAGCAAATAGCATCACATGCTAGAGAGAAATCTTTCATAAAAGTAAGAGTTCATCAATGGGTCAAATTTCATTGTTGTCTTATTTTAAGAAACTACTAGAGCCACCTCCGCCTTCAGCAACCACCACTCTGATCATTTGGTTCCCATTAACGTCAAGGCTAGACCCTCTACCAGAGAAAACATTATGACTCCCTGGAAGCTCAGATGACTGTTACTATTTTTTTGCAATGAATTATTTTTAAGTTAAGGTATATACATTTTTAAACCATAATGCTACTGCACATTTAATAGACAACAGTATAAACATAACTTTTATATGTACCGGGAAACCAGAAAATTTGTGTGACTCACTTTATTGTGATATTCACTTTATTGTGGTGGTGTGGAACCAAACCCACAATATCTCCAAGGTATGCCTGTACATACTTCTTAGTGCTTAAGGGCAGTGGCCACTTTAGAGTAATGCATATTAATATGCAACTTCACCAGATAAGGTCAATGTTTTTCCGCAAAGAAGCTGCACCAATGTACAATGGATGTGCTCTATTGAATCCATTCTCTTTAACACTTGTCACACTTTTTCATTTTATTTATTT